CATTTCAACACTCAAAGACCCTCCTGCATGCCCCTGTTTGCTTTCTGGCGTGCTTTTGACTCAGTTTGGCATCAAGGTTTACTCCACAAACTGCATATGTTACACTTTCCTATTCCCTATATATTCGTCTCATCTCCTCTTTTTTTACACAGGCATCGTGCCGCTATATCGATTGATGGGATTCTCTCTCGCACTTTCACATTACATGCTGGAGTCCCAAAAGGTTCTGTGTTGTCTCCCCTTCTGTACATTCTCTATGTTGCTGATATGCCTTGTCCCCAGCCTCCTCTTCAGTTGTTTCAATATGCTGATGACACAGCTTTGGTAGCTCATTGTTCCACGATGTCAACTCTGAACAAGCTACTCCAGGCTGCTGTAAATTCTTTTTTGTCTTGGTGTCACTGCTGTCAGCTATCCCTCAATGTTCCTAAGACACGAGCTACTCTTTTTGGTCTAACTCGTCATAAGTTTCGCCCTTGCCGTGGCCCATCTTTATTTGATTTCTGGGTTGACAATGTCCTGATCTTCCTTTCCGACTTCGTGACCTATCTAGGCATTGTCTTTGATAGGCATCTTACTTGAAAGCCATACCTATCTGCCCTTTCTGCTAAGGTTACTCGACGTCTTCATCTCCTCCTATCTCTCACCGGTACCTGAACCCTCCTCTTCTGCTATACACATACAAGACATTTATCAGATCCTGCTTAACCTATGGACAGACAACCTGGATATCTGCTTCTCCGACCTTCTATTCTCGTCTCCAGGTTTTGGAGCGCCATGCCCTCCAGCTCGCCTTTGGCGTCAAACTCCCTAGTCCCACTTCGAACCTTTATCGCCATATCAACTTTCCACACATTCTATTACACCTTCGCACTCGTTATGTTAATAAATGTTTTCATGACCACAATCTCATCTCTCCCATGTTCTCGCCACCACTGTACCCACTCTGAGAAACATTTTTGCACCAGCTGATCACCTACAGAACCTCTATGTCATGTCCCCTCTCCATCCATTTATCTATCCTAATTCATAATACTCGACATACCTGTTGTCACTTCCCACACAATATCCATTATATGATATAGACTAGTTAGTGTTCTCCCGATTGTCTCCTCCATCTGCAAATATCTCATTTTCCGCCTCTTGTGACGACTTGCACGCTTACCCATCTATTATTCATTTTACCCATTTTTCGTCACTCCCGGGATCGGAATGAAATAACGCTCATATTGTTGTTGATATTTCATTGGCGGTAGTGTCCATGGTCACTGACTAGGAGTGGAATTCTCTGAAACTAGTCTGGCTCA